TTTATAGAGTGGACACCTAAAAGAGATACACCAACAACACCAAGACTTCGATGACTTTCTTACTCTTTATTATAATTGCAGCTTCTTTTTCCAGTTACAACATTTTGGCTTCAGGTTATGTTTTCTGATTAGGTTTCATCGTTTGAAAGCAAGAACATTGATATGATTATATATGATTATATATGATATTCATATGTGGTGACTTTGTGGACATGCAGAGATCAAACCTTCTGGGAGAATTGATGATATGTGCAAGAATACTTGTTCGCCAACGTACGACTATGATAAATGTGTGGCTGATTGTAGGAAGGCTGGCTTCTCATCTGGGAGTTGTGCTACTTCTTTCGGAAACAAATGTTGTTGCACCAAGTGATAGAAACCGAACTTGTCTTGACATTAATATGTTTTATTTTCTTTTGTTGTTTTTCTACAAATAAAAAATTAAATAAGAAAATATAAAATTATTTGACGATTGTAGTTTTCTTAATCAAAAGTCTGAACTACTATCACCATACATCTCTTTTATTGCGATTCCAGTTATTTAAAGCGGAGAAAATGATTAGGTAATTATGATTTCTGTAGACTTGTTAAAATTACTCTGGATTTAGGTTTGGTAACAATTAAAGATAATGAAAAAGTAAAACAAAATATCCTTAAGGTGAACTATATGTTACGTTTACAAATGATTGTAACTATTATAAAATCGAAAAAAGATATTAGTTATGTTATTTTTTTCGTTGGTATTATTTTGAAAATGATTAGGCAAGAAGGTCTTATGATGAAGCTTCTCCTTGTGATAGCAGAGCAAAGTACCGTGTCGTTATTTGCAATTTCAAGATTAGCTTCTAATATACTTCTCATTTTGTTTCCGGCAAAAACTTGATTCATTTAATCATAAATATTAGCACAAAGAGAAATATATATAAATCCAAAGTTTAAGAAAAAAATCAAGCAGGGCATATAAAGATAGATAATAGGAGTTAAAAATAATCATAGAGAGTTTTGAGGCAAAGGCTAATAAGCGATTTAACACATGTGAGATCAAAGTTTTTCTAACGGATTTCCATGATGGGAGATTGTAGACAAGTTGGTCATAGTCACAGGACTAAATGAAGTTGATAAGCTGGTCATGGCTGTTTGTCTCGCTGGCACGAGAAAGGCTCATGAAGTAGTACATACAGGTCTGGCTCAGTAGCGTCTGCTCCACGACAACGGGAGCTGCTCCTAGATT